AAATAAAAACAGGTTTTGCTTTTTTTTTTTACGCTTACATTTTCTCTCTGCAGGTACACAACATGTGGTGTTTCTTCCATTGAGATCTGAATGATTTATAGAGAAGTGTGATCGCTCTCAACACTGTCAGAATATAAACACAAACAGCCCCGTTCAGTCAGAAAAAAAGCTGCACTGTGTAAAATAAAAATGAAAACTAATATGCCTTATAATTTTGTTAAGTTATTTAATGTTAAAAGTGATTGAAATAACCTATTCTTTTCCATTAAAGTGAAATTACTGAATCTTACACTCTAAAAAAAAATCCTTTATTTTATTTATTTATTTTTTTCTGGCAGTTGGGTTGTAAAATAACGACCATTAAATAATAGAAATTTACTCTAAAATAGCGGATGCTAAATTACATAAATTTACTGTAATCCAATAATAAATATCTGTAATTTAACGTCTTTTATTTTACAGTAAATTTCTGTTATTTAATGGCCGTTATTTTACGTTTTTTTATTTTATTTACGTAAAATGATGTATTTTTTTTACAGTATAGGAGCCTGAAAATTGCTAATATCAGATGAAAACGTTTTTGATCTGAGCTCCACACACACACACACACATACACACACATCATGACAAAGAGAAAATAAATCTGTTATTAAAAATACATTTTAAAAACTATTATGATTAGAAATGTGCTGAAACAATCAAAAAAAAGTACTGTAATCACAAACAATACTAAAATAACTATACTAAAATAAAGTATTAAAGTTTCAAGTTGGCGTGGTCCCTAGGGGTGTGTGGACCCTTAGAATCATGCTAACTTACCTAATTGTGTATATGTATGTATGTACAAGCTGCTGAAACCCCAAACCATAACTTTTCTATTGATACATTTTTTTTAATTCAGTTAAAAAAATAATAATTAAGTGTGTGTGTGTGTGTGTGTGTGTGTGTGTGTGTGTGTGTGTGTGTGTGTGTGTGTGTGTGTGTGTGTGTGTGTGTGTGTGTGTGTGTGTTTGTGTATTTCTTTTTTCTTTTTTTTCTGTCTTTTTTTAATGGACCATCAATTGTTTTCTGTATGAGATGAAATTAAGTGACATTCATACTTATCACCACTAGATGGCAGTGCTTTCAACAATTCATATTTATTTTATTAACGAAACATGTGGTTTAATAGTTTATTTAGATAGCAGAACGAATAGTGACTTATCTATTGATCTAAAAAAAATTTATTATTTTATGTAATCTTATTTTTGAATTGCTAATGAAAATGTTTAAATGTATTTTTACATGCTTTCCTTCTAAACATTTCCACAGACCTATACCTCACAGCCTCAAATTTGCCAATCTTAATCTAGGACAGGGGTGCCCAAACTTTTACGTATAAAGGGCCAAAAACCAAACATCACTGAGAGCCGAAGACAAACATATCAAACTATTTTACATTATAGTTGCCGTGGGAAATGTCCTAATTTATTTCATCAAAATTAAAAATAAATAGAAAACCTCATTTTGAATTGTATTAACTAATGCAGTATAACTTTTTAAATGGTAACTTATTGCAATAAAAACATAATCACATTTATAACTCAGTGGTGTTCAATGCTGAATACACTAGACATGCAGGATCTTGCATATATTTGCTCATCAAAGTCTCTGCATGGTCCTCTATCCGTCGAGGGACAGTATGCAGCATTTAAATTGAAACATTTCGTTTCAGTTAGCGTTTTTTGTAGCTTAACAATAAAATAAACAAATAAAGGTTACTTTAAATTAGAAAAGACAATATCTAAAGTATCCCCATCAATCTCCCTCTTTTCTCAGATGGGATAGAGGGCAAAATCAAAAGGTTAAGGGCTAACTTTGGCCCTCGGACCCTAGTTTAGGCATCTCAAGGACAACTGAAAATGTGGTTTAATATTTAAAAAACCTGTTGCATCATTTTCTTCAACAGCAGATGGCGACACCAGTCCACAAATCCACTAAATCAGATCCCGACTCTAATAACGCTCAATTCTGCACTCAAAAAGGACAAACACACTCAAAAATAAATATATTGGTGCGTGTTCAAACTACTTGTTAAAGAGTTGAATCATCACAATTGTGACTTTTTTGGGACAACATAATTGTTTTATACTCAATCTACTTACATTTTTAATAAACAATTAAGTTGACTTAAATCGATTTGTGTAAAAATATACTTAAATAATATTGTGTGTGACTCCCATGAGCTTGAAGGACTGCATCCATACATCTCTGCAATGACTCAAATAACTTATTAATAAAGTCATCAGGAATGGCAAAGAAAGCGTTCTTGCAGGACTCCCAGAGTTCATCAAGATTCTTTGATTTCATCTTCAATGCCTCCTCCTTCATCTTACCCCAGACATGCTCAATAATGTTCATAGCTGGTGAATAGGCTGGCCAATCCTGGAGCACCTTGACCTTCTTTGCTTTTGCTATCCTGCTGAAGAATTTGCCCTCTCCAGTGGTTTGTAATGTAATGGGCAGCACAACTGTCTTGATACCTCAGGCTACTGATGTCGCCATCCACTCTGCAGATCTCTCGCACGCCCCAATACTGAATTTATCCCCAAAACAAGATTTTTCCTTCACCAAACTTGACTGATTTCTGTGACAATATTGGGTCCATGCAGGTTCTAATAGGTCTTCTGCAGTATTTGTGATGATTAAGAAGCAGTTCAACAGATGATTCCTCAGAAAAATCAACCTTCTGCCACTTTTCCAAATGATCAACTAGAAGTCAAGTTATTATTTGTTGCTCTTACAACTGGGATTGACGACAAGACTTTTGTCAGGTAGTGTTTGTATGTATATAAGCAACACAATTCCTATACATTTTGGACATAACTTAATTGTTTTATGTTCATTCCACTTTACTTCATTGTTTAAGTTAACTTAATCGATTCATGTTTAAAACACCAGGAATGAATATTGTGAAACCCTGCATTTTTCTAAACAGAAATGACCGTGAATATTCATCATGCGTCTCATGAACGCATAACATCACACTTTAAAATCTAAAATCTACTGTTTTACTTCTCCGCAGCACGCTTTCTTTTTTTAATGCAGGCCAAATGTTACACATGAGTATACTTGCATTTTTATTCATCATAAATCCCCTGCCGGATCTGTGCGGAATAATAATGAAGCCTGTAGATGTAAGAGCTGGCTAATAGTCTGTTTAAAGGAGTAAAAAAGCTTTGCTGGTTTTCTGCTCTCATTGACTTGAAGCAGGGCAGGTGAAAGCATATCAAAGCCTCTATACACTTCATCATAAACAGATATGCCGAGCCCTTTGATCACCGGCAGGAGCATATAGAGAATGATAAAAAGCCCTCATCAGCTCACCAACACGTCCAGAGGCTTTAATGATGTGGAGAAAACACTTAAAATGTCTGAATGTCATTGCGGTAGAGCCAAATGTCAAACTCAAAGTCAGAAAATTAATTGTGTGTTGACTTCACATTGTCTTTTTAAATCTGCTAGTGCATTGGTTAAATAATAGATTCATTTAAATTACATTAATTATTCATTATATTTGCTTCGTTCATGCAATCAAATGCATTAATTTATTTATTTATTTAAGTCCTGTTATTCAATTATTATAATTTCTTTAAAAAAAATTTCAACATTAGCCAAAATAGCTTTGCACAGGCTATTTTAGATTACACAAAAATGCAGGGTTGTTGAAACCTATTGTTGGGTCAAATATGGACAAACAGCAATTGGGTTAAGAAGAGTAATTTAAATTTAATAGAACAAAAATTAACCATGCGTTGGGTTATATATAACAATAAATGTTCTGTTATGACAATGCAGCATTTTTGCAAGTCAAATATTTACAGCTTTATCTATTTAAATACATTAATTAATACTTGCCAAAATGGCTTGTTTGGGATTTTTTTGGATTGATTTGTATTTAAGTATTTAGTTAGTGTATTAGTAGTCTGTCTGTCTGTCTGTCTGTCTGTCTGTCTGTCTATCTATCTTAAGTATATAATACATACAAATCTATTTTGTATTGTATGTTTGTTCTATATATGGTTTGATTTTCGAGTATATGATTTAATTTTAATGATGTGTGTGTGTGTGTGTGTGTGTGTGTGTGTGTGTGTGTTGTATTTAATTTGTGTGTATTTATATATTAGTAAATGTAATAGTCGTTGTTTTCTGTATGATTTATGTAGGGCTAGAGACTTTAAATAAGCTCTTTTGGGTTTTTCTTCGTCTTCCTGCACATTACGGCTTGTATTTTTCGGTTTTGTTTCGTTCAGTTTTATTCGTGTGCAAATAAATAAATAAATAGTATCCCCCCCCAAAACAACAACAACAACAACAACTGCCCTATAATGATGACTACTTATCCCAAAATCGGTTGTTGTAACCCAATTTTGGGGTCAAATATGGACAGACCCAACCCAATTGGTTTAAAAAGTGTCATTCAAAGTTGATTGAAGAAAAAAAAAGTTGGGTTTGTCCTCATTTGACCTAATGTTGTGCTACAACAACCCACCATTTTTGTAAGAATATATATATATATATATATATATATATATATATATATATATATATATATATACATACATACATACACATAAATACATATATAATATTGCATACATATATAATTAATATTGCAGCTTTATCTTTTAGTTTTTTTTAAATAATAATAATTGGGGTTATTTTGTATTAATTTATATTAAAATGTAAGTTATGTAATGATAATAGTGTAATATCTTGCACATCGATTTTTATATTGTGTAAGCCAATACAAGTACATCCATTTACTTTATACGAAATATAAATATTTATTAGTTTTATATTAACCCAAAATGCCGTTTGTATGGCATCTACCTACCTACCTACCTACCTACCTACCTACCTACCTACCTACCTAACATATCTTCCATCGTGCCTACTTACCCAATAAAGTGTGCCAACCTGCCCCGCTGTAGGGGGAGTGGTGGTCGCGCGTGTTCGGTCGGTGTGGGACGCCTAGTGGACTGAGAGCTCAACACACGAACTTCTGTCAGCCCTGTGTTTTCAGTCGCAGCCCCGAGCCGAAGATACCGGAGAAACTCACAGCCAGTCGCGCTCAATTCAGCCTTTATAACCGCGACCGACCGCGTCGTGACGGACACACGGCATTCAGAACAACGCGACGGGGGCTCGTTCACGATTTATTGATCACCTGTGCGGGCGTGCGCGCGGTTAATGGATTAAAATGTGAATCTGTGAGTTTACTTTGCAGCAAAGGTAAGAGCTAGTCGCGTGCACGTCTTTGCATGAGCCGAGTCTTTTTAGGACTACATCTTTTACGTGTCTGATATGAGTCGTATCTTAAATAACTTTGCATTGATAAGCTGTTGTCTCTCTCTCTCTCTCGCTGTGTGTGTGTGTATGGTCATCCTGTTTGCAGCTTCTCTCACAACACTAATGTGATCAAATGAAAGCAGTGTCATGTGAATATGACATGCACTGCTGCACAGAAATGATGCTCAGAAACCTATTACACTGCATTCCTGCTGCTGTTGCATTATGCATGTGGAGTACCTGAGAAACTAGCAGGTTTTCTGACTGTGATGTGTCTCATATCAGAATAATGCAGTCAATTCTGGACTATCACTGTCTGGCTTTTCAATCTAGAATCAACAGAGGTTAATAATAATCGAGTGTCGTTCATTCCTACAGGTTTAGTTTCTGTGGTAATGTTTTAAAGCATTTCTGACTCTCTTTTTTTCCTCTTCAGGCTGATTTCTGACTGACATCATTCACCAGGCGGATCAGGATTTTAAAGATGGAGCTCTGGATTTTGGCTGTGTGTCGGATCAGCTTGATGTTGACACTGATGTCATCCACTGGACAGGTCAGCAAGCGAGAGTATTACTGGTGATTTTGCAGCATTGCTTGTG